TTCAAGTTGTACTTTGTTTTCAGTTATTTAGTTCATATTATAAGCACTCAAACGTCAGTTCATAAGTTTCCCGTGTAATTCAACACTCAATTTGTAATAATTTTTACATAGTGATGACCGGTAGACATATATAAGTCTATCGGTTGGATGGTAAATTCTCTCGTGGGAGAGCGAAAAATTCTCTCGTGGGAGAGCGAAAATTCTCTTGGTGAAGGGTTGAATTCCATCGTGGGTTGGGAACGATCCATGCTTATCTTCTGAATTCTATTGCTATGGAGTTTGATATTAACGGGGTAGCCGGTTCTACACGAAATGCAGATGCCCTAGGGGGTTTATTCAAGAAGATTGCGCTCTCTGAATCTGAAGGAAACATCATTGATCTCAAGGATGAGGATATCAAAATTAGTGCAGCAGAATGCCAACGGAGCTTGTTTGGGAGGATTATTGGGGATCGTAAGGCTAGCCTTATAGGAATACGGCGCACTATGGGTTCAATATGGCAAATTCAAGCTCAAATGGAAGTCAGGGAAATTCGAACAAATTTCTTTCAGTTCTTGTTCGGAAATTCTGAAGACAAAGCCAAAGTTCTCAGAGGTACAAATTGGGTTTTCGAAAACCAATATATGATATTAGCGGAGTGGGAAGAAGGCATGACTGAGAAACATCCCAAATTTTCAGAACTTCAACTCTGGGTGCAGGTTAACAACATTCCTATTAATTGGTTGTGTACTGAGGTAGGCTTAAAAGTGGGGAAAGCTTTCGATAAAGTTAAATCGGCTTCGGTTATTAAGGCAGGTGGGCAGAGAGGAAGTTTCATTCGATTACTTGTGGTATTGGATGTTAACAAGCCACTTCCTAGGGTAGCTTGTCTTAAGCTCCATGACACGCACATCATGGCTACCTTACAGTATGAAAAACTTATCAATGTTTGTTTCTACTGTGGTACCATTGGTCACTTGGAACGTGCCTGCAATAAAAAGGATGATGACATTGCAAAAGATTCACTTAATGAAGGACAATACGGTTATTGGCCTCTAGGGCTGTTGATGGGCCGTATGGATATAGATCTAGCTCGGCATCAAATCCAGAGAGTCCCTCTCCTAATAGCCATGCTCAAGAGCAAGATACTCATCATACAGAGGAGAATGTTGGTTTTAAATCAGCGGGCAGTGGAGTGAGAGCAGAAATGGGCAAAGAAATAAGTATTGCTGACAATTCAACCCAAGAGGCACCATCCTGCAAAATGCTGAGTAAAGATAAAGCCACTTGTCTATATAACGATGAGGAAGGTTTGATTGATACTGGTATAACTCTTGCCATGGACTATGAGCATGTCACGGCTGCTTTGGAACCTATCACGCAAATCAAGGCCAATATGGACATTCTGGAAACACCGATCACTCAGAAGAGTAAAAAATGGACTAGAAAATCTCAAGGGACTGCTGGAGGGGAAAACACTGTAAACCTTAAAAGCATCCCTGAAACAACAGGGACTCAAACTCGAAGGAGGAAGCGAAATCAAGTCATGGAAAACCTTGAAGAACCAATTGCTGAAGGAGAGGCTCAGGAAAATAAAAAGCTCAAGTCTTGCTTGGTGGAGGTGGAGGCGGCCAGCCTTGAGTGGCCCCCAAAGGATCAATGAAGCTTATGATGTGGAATTGTAGAGGGTTGGGTGGACCATCCACAATTTCACAACTTAAGGAGTCTTCTAGACTCCACCACCCGGATTTCATTTTTCTTTCTGAAACAAAAAAATTCAATCATTTTGTTAAAACTGTTTGTAATAGAATAGGTTTTAAGGATAGATGGTTTGCTGTTGAGCCTTTAGGGTTAAGAGGGGGGTTATTAGCTCTATGGAGCTGTAGTGTGGAGGTGAAGCAGATTGTTAGTAATCAATTTAGCATTCAGTTGGAAGTTGTTGTGTCAGGGATTGAGGGGGTCTTTTGGGTTATATTCTTGTATGCTAGTACTGATAAGAGGGAAAGGATGATGCAATGGCAGTATTTGGAGAGAGCTAGTGGGGATTGGGGGAGTAACTGGGTTTTGGGTGGGGATTGGAATGAAATCTGTGATGCTAGTGAGAAGAGAGGGGGTAAGAGGAAAGCTGAGAGGGAGTTTGTTGATTTTAATAACTTTATTTCTAAAATGGGGATGCAGGAGATTCATTTAACTGGTTATAACTTTACTTGGGGTAATAACAGGGATGCTGAAGGATTCATTGAAGAGAAGATTGACAAGATTTTTGCTTCTTATGAGTCGATTGATGAGAACCAGCATGCTGAGGTGGAAAATGTATTCAAAAGCTCCTCTGACCACCGGTTGTTGATTTTAAACTCAAACTCTCGGGTCCATTATCAAAAAAGCAAAAGATTTTTCTTTGATAAAAGATGGCTGCATAGAGAAGGTGTGAGAGATGCTGTGCTAAAAGGGTGGGCTTCAGAGCAAGCAGGTACTCCAATGTTCCAAGTCTCTGAGAAGATTAAGGCCACAAGGATATCTT